ATTCCCTTTATATGTAATTATAATGGCAACAACAGAAAAATTAATAAGGTCATAACAAAACATTGGCATATATTTAAGGACGATCCGATTTTAAAAACTTTATTACCAGAAAAAACAAATATAATTTTTAGAGGCGCAAAGAATTTAAGAAACACTCTTGTGCAAAGTAGCAACAAAGAATACAAAATAGGAAATTCTTTTTTCACTATTAGCAATGGTTTTTATGGATGTGGACAATGCTCAGCATGTAAAAACACTATAAGCACAAAAATACATCTCATAGATTTAGAATCAGTTATTAATAAGAAATTTGTTATAAAAGATCATTTAACAAAGATCATTTAACATGCTATTAAAAGGGAGTTATCTACATCCTAAAATGTCCATGTAACCTACTATACGTAGGGCGCACGATTCGAAAATTAAATATAAGAATAGCAGAACATATACGAAATATTAAAAATGGAGTAGAAACTCACAGTGTCTCACATCATTTTAAACATGTTCACCAACAAAATCCTGAAGGGATGTTCTTTTGTGCGTTAAAATTGGTAAAAAAAAGATTGGAGAGGCGGAGATTATGGTAATAAAATAGGCATAACACTATGATTCCATATGGACTTAATAACGATTTCGAACTCTGCCATTTTATGCAGTAAACATTATATTTTTTACAGTTCAGCACCTTCTATTTTAGTCATTGTTTTAAATTATTTTAATATTTTTATCACTTCTTTTTAGAATCTTAAGTACACTATTGTTCATTGGATCAAGTAGAACTAAAAAATTTTAACATTTTTATTATTATATTCTTGTCCTTTATTTTATTACTTTTTACACTGCAGTTTATTGGATCAAATAGACCTAAAGGTCATTTTGGAATTTCCATCATGTTATTCTTGTCCCCTTTTTTTTTTTACCATTTTAAGTACACTATCATTAAAATTAGGGATATTACAGAAATCATTAAATCTTTTGATATTATAAATATCACTATTACTACATATATCACAGCATTACTTATTTATATTTATTTTATATACTTGTGTACAAATGTATTTTTTAAATATGGTATCCTTGTGTATGTTTGATACTATTGTGTATTGGGGCTGTGCAACGATATAGATGTGTTTATGTAATGAGCCTTCACTCTCTGTTGTCGGACAGAGAAGTTCGATACAGAAGCTGACCAATTGGAACGCACGTGCGTCCCACTTTGATGCAATTCACAAACGAGAGACAGTAATGGAACGCACGCTGCGTTCCGGCGGCCGGAACCCGGAAGTGAATGCCGGCGCCGGAAAGCATGTTGCGTTCCAAGGGCCGGAATCCGGAAGTGCCGCATAAAAGCGGCTAAATCAGCCGGAATTTCTTTTAATAGAAAGAACCAACGAAAGACATATTACAGAGCCAACTGAGAAAGCCTGTACATCAGGCGAAACGCGTTTTGGACACTGT